TAACCATGTTTCAGTGATGGCTACTCGATCGTACCCATATGTGTCTATCTGTGCTTTTAATTCATCAGTTTTATTCTGAATGCTTTGCGCTTTCAAATATAACATTTTTAATTTCCTACCATTTCCTCTCCTCTCTGATTCCTTATCTGCTTTGCCAAGCTTCTTACCCCTAGTTAACATATTCCTATTATCTGGCATGCTATTCTGCACTGTCATCTTTACTTTTTCTAATGCTAACTTATGGTTTCTCTTATCTATATATTCCCCCCCCTTTACTAGTTTAAATTCCTATTTACTTCCCTATTAATTCATTTAGCTAGGACATTTATCCCAGCCCGATTTAAATGCAGCCCATTTCTCTGAAACAGTTCTCTTTTCCCCCAATACTCATGCCAATGACCCATAAAAAGAAACCCCTGAGTTCCGTACCACTCTTTTAGCCATGAGTTCAAGTGTTTAATTTGTTTGTTCCTGTACCAATTGTCGTATGGTACAGGCAGTAGTCCCAATATTACCACCTTCGATGATCTTGACTTCAATTTGGACCCCGGCTCTTTGAATTCCCTTCTCAAGTCATCTTGGCCAACTCTACCGATGTCATTGGTACCTTTGTGAAGTACCACCAACGGATCCTTGCCCTCGTACTTTGAATTATCCTCTAGCCCTGCCAAGACATCCTTCACCCTGGCCCCAGGGAGGCAACAAAGCCTTTGGGTCTTCTGATTGGGGTTGCAGATGATTGTGTCTGTCTGTCTAATAGTCTCATCCCCAATGACAACAACCATTGAAGAACCATATTGAAGAACCAGATGGTGCTTTACCAGTTTTAACAACAATTTGCATTATATGGCACTTTTCATGTAAAAGAACCTCTCAAAGCATTTGACAAGTGCATTGGTGGACACTGGGAAGGGGAATTAGACATTTGGAGATAGTTACCAAATTTTCAGTTGAAAAGGTTTGTTTTTAGGAGGATTCTGAAGACAGCAACGAATCAAAATGTTTTTGGGAGGACAAGGGCACGATGACTGGAAGCAAAGCCAGAAATGATGGAACAAAGTGAGTGAGGAGCAAGTAATAATCTGAAGCTAGAGGAGTACAGAGCAGAATGTAGGACTGAAAAACATTGAATACGAAATGTGCAGTGAGACTATGAAGGGATATGATAATCAGAATAGAGATCTTACACACAATTTTCAGAGATACTGGTGATCAATGAAACTTGGATGGGAAGAGTTAATGGGTATTCTGTCTCATCGTTTCTTGCAGTTTTAGTGGAACATAAAATACATTAGACTCCTCTTTGCCTTTACTTTCAAGCAGACATGAATCAAACATTACTGGCTTATTTACCAGCCATATACAAATAGTGTTTGGTATCTCTCTTGTGTCAGAGCTACTCTGGCTATTGCAGATTTGCAGTATGCAAACATTTTCAGAATTTAGTTTGCATAAGCATGTTTTTGATGTTTGTTTAATTTCTGAGATGTCACTGAACAGAAACCCTTTGTTGTATTGATAAAGGGACCCACAAAAGTCAAAAGAAAAGTAATTATGTTCACTGAACAGCACTGGATAAATTGTTTAAATAAAAAGGCCATATCTTCTGCCTATCAATCTATACAACCCGTTCTAATGAAACAAGACATGCACATGACATCTACTATCACTGAGGAAAACAGGAGCTTTCCTCATCTGAAATATGTGATACTATTAATCAAGTATGTTCCCACATGACATCCAGCAAATGTAACGCTAGTTTATCATTGAAATGTGTTGTAAACAAACTATTTCCAAACTCTAGTTAACACATTTTTTTGTGAATATAAACAACCAATGATGATTGAACAATTTAGCAGAGAAAGTCCAGTTTTGTCTTTTAAATCAATTGTAATTGTAAAATTAATTTCAAATAGGAGTTATTAATGACGGAATCTGGAAATACATCACAAACTATGGCAGGATCCACTTTCTGAGTATATTTCCCGTGGGATTATGTGTTGTACTTAGGTTACCAAAAGATCAGTTACCAAAAAAATCAGTTATGATTCAGAAGATTTGTAATAACAAATCCCTGCAATTTGCAACTTAATAATAGAATTCTATAGAATCACAGCAATTGATGGAGGTGTTTTATGTGTAATTAGTAAAGTGGCTCATTCAGAATGGGCAGCAGGAAGGAGACCGTGTGCATAAATATACTTTGTCCATGATAGCGCAAGATATTGAAGCACGAGATAGAAAGGGTGTGCAGGAGAAATATATTCCATTAAGAAATAAGAAAAAAAAATAATAATGGCATGCAATGGATGAATAAAGAGATGAAGACAAAACTGCAGCTAAAGAAAAAAGCATCTGAAAAATACAGAATAGATAACAGAGAGGAAAACAGGAGTGAATACAGCAATCTTAGGAATAAGGTTAAAAAGACCATTAGGAAGGCAAAGAGGAACCAAGAGTAATAATTCCTTCATAATAATAATAATAAATTGGTCACTCAATCCACAACTGTTTGTAGGACACTGCTGTGCGCAAATGGTTGCCATGTTTCACCCACACAATATACAGTCAATTCACTTCACAGTAAATTCTGTGAAATGTTTTGAGACGTCTCGAAGACGTGATAAGGCACTATATCAAATGCAAAGATTATTATTATGAGGAAGACATAACAAAAATCTAAAATGAAATGCCAAGACATATCGCTGTGCCACTAAAAAAACTTAAAAAGAATTACTGGAAAAGAAAGGTGCATTTATTATGAAATTCACAATAAAATATCAAACAAGTTACTTCTGAATTTGTTTTTTGTCCATAACATCTTCTATATTCAGTTTTGAGCACACCAGTCAAAGATTAAGGTTATCATCTGTTAGTTTGGAACGGTATTTATTTTTTATGAAGTTCATGGTGAAAAAGGACTGCTCACAGCTAGACAAGGGAATTGCAGTGGAAGTAGTGTATCCGGATTTCAAGAAGGCCTTCGATAAAGTGCCCCATGAGAGGTTCATGACTAAAATTGAGGTTTATGGAATTGTGGGAGAGGTAAAGAATGATTAAAGAATGGTTTGGAAACTGAAAACAAAGGGTAGGGGTTAAGGGTATCTTCTCAGGCTGGCAAGAGGTAGGAAGTGATGTTCTGCAAGTATCCATGTTAGGACCACTACTGTTGATCATATACATAAATGATTAGGATTCAGGTATTAGATGTGTGCTATCAGAATTTGAATAGGAAACCAAATTGAGAGGGTGTGGTAAACAGTGAAGAAGAAAGTAGAAAGTCATGAAGTGGCTGGCAGAATTGCCAGATAGATGGCAAATGAAGTTTAGTATATGAAAATGTGAAGTAATTCACTTCGGCAGGAAAATTAAAGAAGATGGTAGGAACCTAAGAGGAGCAAGAGAACTGGGGATTCAGATCCACAAATCTCTAAAAGTAACTACACAGGTAGATAAGGCTATGAAAAAGGCCAATGGGGTCTTGGGCTTCATATCCAGAGGGATAGAATATAAAAGTGAGGTGATATTGATTTTATACAAACCTTTGGAATATTGTGTCCAATTCTGGCCTCCACACTACAAGAAGAATATGACAGCAATGGAAAGAGTACAGTGTAGCTTTACGAGAATAATATCACTGCTGGCAGGTGACTGTTATCAGGATAGACTACCACAAAATACAGTCAATTCATTTTACAGTATATTCTGTGAAGCGCTTTGACTTGATAAGGCATTATATCAAACCAAGGATTATTATTATTATTAGACTGGGATAGGTTGGACCTTTTTCAATGCAAATTATGTCTCACACTCACTTGCTTGCTTTTTTAATGACTCTTTCATCAGATTTTCATTCTAAACACTTTCCCGCAGAAGCAAGCACACTATATATTCCCTGTATCTTCCTCACAGGGAGTATGTGTTATCAGGATACATCTGAAGCATGGGATTAGCCAGGAGATTTTTTGGGGAGAATAGAAGATTTTCCATTGGGTCTAAGTCCCAACAAAATAGGCTATTGTTGTGTTATTTATACATTTTGACCCTACTTTTGTTAACAGAAAAGCGAGAAACGTGGCTCCACCAAGTTCATACAGTATTTATATTTAAACCAGAAATCCTTATGCAAGCAAATTCTCCTCAAAGGCATTGACTTTCCTTGAGGTGTAGAATCATGAATGTCACCCAATACAATGTCAAAATGGACATGCTTTATGTTGAGCCAAGACAATGAGTGTCAGCAGGCAATTCGACCATAGGGCACCACAGCCAAGTCCAGTCTTGCCCTGATATCCACCCACTGGCACTTTACAGCAAGGATCATTGGATAATATTCAGGAATAGGAATTTTTCCTCACAAGCTCAGGGATGCTAAGGCCAATTGCAATGCTCCAACATTTCCCTTAGTTAAGATCACTTAACAATTACAGACAGAGATTAAACCCAGGGTGTTTTGGCCTTGTTTGTCTGAGTCTCACTCTAGGAAGTGGCTTTACAAAATGAGCTACCTGGGAAGATCATGATATTTATACAATCTGGAGACCTAAATGAATACAAATCAGACATAGCAATAAAATAATCGTTGCATTTGATATAGAGCCTTATCACATCTTTGAGACAGCTCAAAGTGCTTCACAGAATACACTGTAAAGTGGAGTGACTGTATATTTTTTGTGGTGAAACGTGGCAGCCAATTGCACACAGCAGTGTCCCACAAACAGTCGTGGATTGAGTGATCAATTTATTATTATTTTTTAAGTAATTATTAACCCCCAGAAAAGCAATCGCCAATCAACTAACAACTGGGTTCCTACTGTTTATGTGCAGAAAAAGGAAAGACTGCATAATATAGAATTGATCAATGCAAACTCTACTTTGTGAATTCTGATTAACTAGAAATGGAATCTGTCAAACCATAGCAAGGGATTTGTATGCAGGCAAGCTAAAAAGAATTGATATTTGACCAGAACAGAACTTTTAAGAAATCACAAAAACTCAAGCAGATTCGGTGGTGATTTATAAATTTATGTACAATTATCTTTCCCTCCAGGTTGATAATGTGGTCTACTGACAGTAAAATGTTGTTTAAAATCTTTTAACAAAAAATACCCTTCCACCAAAATAAAACTTCCCCATTTTAACGCTTTAACTTTCAATTAATTAAACTGCAAACCCAAGCACACCATTCGATACAGAGAACAGGAAAGATTTGCATATGATGTAGAATCCACTACTTTGTAGCTTTCCTCATAAAAACAGTATTACTGTGTTTGCTGTGCCCATCCTCTAAGCCAGTGGAAAAGTTTGTCCCATCTATAGGATGGTGAGCATCCAAAAAATAGCAAATCCCAGGAATTTCATCTGGGAAGTTAGGAGGCAGGTCTTCTATAGAGCGAGGTGTGAACTTGAACCCAGAATCATCCTTTAATAACCTAAAATAGAAAAGGTTTAGACAGGTAGAAAGTTTAATGTGTAAACACAAAGCATGGTTACTTGTGAATATCACTAACACTCGTGGTACAGGGCTGCTTTACAGTAACTCAAGTACATGCGGTGAGTAAGATTTTATAATTCAAAGATCAGTGGGATGAAAAGCACTGCTGAGGAAAGCCTGGAGTCAGCAACTTTACAGCTTTCCCATTGAGAGTTTTGTCAATTCCATCGATAAAATGATCATTTTGTATTTTCTGCCCAAACAATTAGTATAAGATCTATGGTTTATTTAAGTAAGGGAAGCAAAAATCTAGGACAGTGAGAACAAAAAAATTGGTAATTATCTAAAATATAAGTACATAAAATAAAATGCAAATTCAAAGAAAATTAAATGATATACTCTGAGCTAATGTTGATTATGTTATGTACCCTATACTGTATCATAAACTGGATAAGTTGCATACCCTCCAAAGTAGTAGTGACATCTAGCAGCTTATGGAGGTCAAACTACTTGTAATAATAATAATAATCCTTGCATTTGATATAGCGCTTTTCACGTTTGGAGGACGCCCCAAAGCACTTCACAGAACACACTGTAAAGTGAATTGACTGTATATTGTGGGTGAACGCAGCAGCCAATTGCACACAGCAATGTCCCACAAACAGTCGTAGATTGAAAATGACCAATTTATTATTGTTTTTTGTTTTGGAGGGATTATTATTAGGCTCTGTGTGGAGTAAGGAAACTTGCCCAAGGTTTCGCCCTCTGCCTGGAATTGAACTCGGGTCTCTCACTTGCAAATCGAGTGCTCTAACCACTGAGCTACAGGACTCCACAAAGTCCTTGTAAAGAGAGGTGTACAATTAAACACAAGTTTTTCAGTGTCACAATGAGTGAGCGAAACATATGCAGAAATGGTCAGTCCAGAGACAGTAGTCACTGCGGTAAACATTCACAAACTTAAAAACTTGTTAATTTACTAAGTTTGTTTTTCATGATTATCACAGTTATCCCTAAACATCCCTTCCAAAAATCATATTTGGAATTTACATGATCTATCCAACATCAAAATATTTTAACACTACACAATATAAAATAGAAGAAGTCACATTTAATATGTAAAACAACTTTAAACTGTCAATAAATATAATTGATTAAGATTGTACTTGGAATAATAAACTTACGCATAAGTGGTTGGACTGACATTTATTCTTCTGGGAAAGCTGGTTGACTCAAACTTGTTGGCAAGAGTAACGTTGTTTCCAAACAAGCAGTATCGAGGCATTTTAACCCCAACTACTCCAGCAAGAATAGAACCAGAATGGAGACCAATCCGCAGCTAAAGAAACAATTTTAGAAACAAATCAAAATGCGATCAAGTGTCTCACATCATCTAAAAAACATCATTAATGTTCATTAATTTGTTTCTCCACCTTTTTCTTTCTAGGGATGCAATTTCCCATTCAGTTCCATTGTTATTTGTGATTATGTGTATTTGTTTTTATGTTCATTAGGCAATAAAATGAAAATCTATATATATATATACACACACACACAAATAATGCTTAGGAAATGCAGATGTAGTACATTCTACTAAGTTCAGGAGGAGAGGTAAAGGAAAATGTGTTATGATGCAGTATATATATATATATATATTGTGTAATCTTAACAAATCATCAAACATAAGGTTAATTAATGATATCTATTATACTGTGCTGAATGGGCTAGAGGCGTAACCCTTCCTCTCCTACATCCACCCCCACCCACACACACCATTCTCAACCGCAACGTCCCCAAAGCCGGGCATCAAACTCTTACATCGCGGCCTTTAAGTGTCTGTTAGAGGAATACCCAGTTTATTCAATCTTTTTGTTTGCTAACTTCAAACTGGAAGCCCAGATTCTCGAAGGTTGTCACTGGGAATGACACAACAACAACAAGAAGATTACATTTGTATAGCACCTTTCACGTCAGGAGGACATCCCAAGGCGCTGGACAGTGTACAGCATTTCAGACTCGAGCTGGGGTCGGGGAGGGAGAAGGAAGGGACGAGACCGATAGCGTGGTCGAAGAGATGGGTTTTGAGTCGGGACTTGAAGGTGGCTAAGGAGGGGGAGAGGCGGAGTGATTGGGGGATGGAATTCCAGAGGTTGGGGGCAGAATGGCTGAAGGCTCTCCCGCCAATGGTGGGGTGGGTGGGTCGGGAGACGTAAAGCAGGCCAGAGCCGGCTGAGCGGAGGGAGCGGTCGGGTTGTTAGGGGGTTAGGAGGTCACAGAGGTAGGGTGGGGCGAGCCCATGGAGGGCTTTGTAGGTGAGGAACAGGATCTTGAACTGGATCCTCTGAAGGACAGGGAGCCAATGGAGTCAAGCAAAAATGGGGGAGGTGGGGTCGCGGAGTTTGGTGCGGGAGAGGACACGGGCTGCAGAGTTCTTGATTGTGTGCATCCTGTGAAGGGAGGAGTTGGGAAGGCTGACAAGCAGCGCATTTGCATCGTCGAGCCTGGATGTGATGAAGGCATGAACAAGAATTTCGATGGCCTGAGGGGTGAGGTAGTGGCAGAGTCGGGTGATGTTACGGAAGTGACAGAAGGCAGAGCGGGTCATGGCTTCGATGTGGGGGAGAAAAGACAGTTGAGGGTCGAACAAGACATCTAGGTTCCTGACTGGCTTGGTGAGTTGTAGTGTGCAACCATGGAGGTTGATGCTGCCAGTGCCTGAGGTGCTGAGGCACTGGCGCGAGCCAATCAGGAGGGCCTCAGTCTTGTTCACATTCAATTGTAGGAAATGTGCCCTCATCCAGGACTTGATGTCCGACAGACAGTCTGTCAGGACAGCAGTGGTCCTGGAGTTGAGGGTGGAGGCAGAAAGGATGGGTGTCATCCGCATACATGTGGAAGGTGACCCCATGTCTGCGGACGATGTCACCAAGGGGGAGCATGTAGATATTAAAGAGGAGCGGGCCATGGACTGATCCCTGGGGGATGCCAGACATGACAGTGCGGGGGCTGGAGGAGAGACTATTAGAGGCAACCAAGTGAAGGGGGTGAGAGAGGTAGGATTCAATCCAGGAAAGGACAGGTTTGCAAAGATTAAGTAAAGAGGAGGTGGTGTATGGGGATGGAGTGGTCGACAGTGTCGAAGGCGGCAGAGAGGTACAGGACACTGGGAGACTGGGGCAATGGGAGGTTGGGGGATGGGGGGTGATTCTGTCACCATCAAATTTAATGTGATAAATATTGAACCCATTTTTCACTCATATTCTGAGCAAAGATGGTATGGTGTGTGTAAATGTGCATAGACATTGATTCAGCAAATTAAGAACTTGAAACAATAAGAGAAGAAGTGAGAAATGATCATTCATCACATCCAGCGTCCAGTAAATACTGATGTTCTAGCTCTACAATTAGTAACTTTCTTACACTGAACATTTGGTTCCTTTCATGGTCTGGATGCTGGGAACTGTATGTAAAATTCTGCATAAACAGTACATAAAGTTACCAGCTAGATAACTTTAAATAGCTTGATATGATAATGGAATCCTCACTAACAACAACATTTATTTAAAAGCATCCCTAGGGAAGGCACTGAACCACACTTGACTTACTCACCAGTGTTTACTTAACAGAAAGAAGTGAATTAAAGAATAGTCAGCTTTCCATTGGGGAAGAAAAGACATTTTGAATCAGTAAATGTACTGACCAGTTTCTGCTGAAACTATTATTTTTCTCATACAAGGCAAGACTCACAATTTTCAAAGAGGGAATAAGTTATAATATTCAAAGGGACTGTTGATGACAGATCAACCAGCCCAGCTCAGTTGCAGGCCTTTGAGGTACAACTCAATTTCTTGCTGCAGGGATTCTTTTCACTAAGTTCCTGTTAACCCTGCAAGCTGAAGCCCTATTGGGTTGGATGATCCTAGATGGATAAACAACAGGAAGATTGCCAGACATTGCTCTAAATGGCAAGATATGTAGGTTTAGCTAGTTGAACTTCAGCATTACTCCAACACACACTCTGGGGTCCAAAGCCTTGGCTCTTGTCAACCTGTGTTTATGAAACTAGATAAGCAGGTTGTCACATTTAAAAGCAGGTGACCGTTCGCATCCTCTGTATTCTGCACTTCATGTCGATTACAACAAAGGAATAGCTCTTGTTCTTCCTAATGGCTTTTTTTCACAAGAGACAAAGGAACGTTCCATTCAGTTGGATAGAATGAGATTATACAACACATAAGGCTATGTTAATTTCTCAAAAATAGTGTTTTTTGTTCCATTATAACATGAGCAAAAACAAAACAAATTCATCACAGATGCGATGGAAGCAAAGCAGTCAAAAATAGAAGATGATTGACATACTGGAGGAAACCATTGGACCAAACTACCTCAGAATGATGAATAAAAATTGAAATAAATAAATATATAAAGTCTCAGGGATGTTAAAAGTGTTCTTCTTCTGGCTGATATCATATCATGCTTGAAATTTGGTGAACACCAACTTTTGCCTGGACACTGTCCGGAAGGACCACACAGAGAAGGGGCAAAGGGCACTCTGGTGATGCTTGTCTCGCTACAAGGACAGCCAGGTTTCAATGCAGGTCAAGCTTGCAGCATGTAAGATTTGCAAACAGTCCTCCTTTATGGATCCACGTTCCTGGGAATGCCCCTTTTGCAAAGTCCAGGATTAAGTAGTGAGATTCATTTGTGGCAAACACAGGAATCAGGGAGAGAGGGCTCCGGCCTATACTGACCTGTTGTTGAGCACCCGAGAGGCGGAGGCGGTTTCACAGTGGATCCTTCTATTTGCCAAAGGCCCTCACATGAAGCCCTGGATTTAAGCAGCTGAGGCTAAGCCTGGTATGCAGCATTGGACTTCAAGAACATCAAGGTAGCTGGCACGTCACAAGCCATCCTGTACAGGTACTCCCACCACACTGAAGAGAGATGTCCATCAGATAATTGATGAGGAAACTCGAGCCCAAGGGCAACAGCTGCTAGAAGGTGTAATCTGGAGTCTCAGTTCAAGAACACATGTTCTTACATCCAATGCTTCAAATCCAGCTTGATTGGTTTGCAGATGGGTAAACAGCTGCTGCTCAAGCTCCGCACTTCCAACTGGTGGAATCATCGCTTAATAGGAAGGGATATATGTCCAAGCTGTGGGCAATGCTCTCATGCATTTCATGCTGAGCTGCGTTGCCCGTCGGGAAGTTTGTAGGGAGTTCCTGGTACCTGCTATCCTCCTAGTCAGGGGTCAAACCCATGCTTGTCAGATGTCAAATAACCAATTAGTGACTATCCTCCTTGGGTGGAGGTAAGAGGGGTCTCCTTGGAGCTGAACTGACTCTAAGGTGATATATTTAGCAACTCACACTCTGAGGTCCCCAACCCTTGGCTCTTGCCAAACTGGGCCTAATACTTTCTGGAATTAGGTAAGCAGGATGTGTCCCTCGGGAGAGAGTGCACTTTCCATTCCAATAAACGTTTCTGGACTTTCCAATGCATAGGTGAGAGGTATGGAACTCTCAGCTTGGTTTGGATACTCTTAAGCATGGTATCCGCATGTATCAGACACCCAGTTAACCAAAATAAAATGCTTGGAATACACTCTACAGAAAGTAATTTCCTACTTACTTAACAGTACTTCATCTTCAAAACAAGTTTAACAACAGGAACTGTAAGTTATGCTGTTTATAAGTAAAAAGCTGAGTCTCACCTTAATAGGCTCACCATCTGGAGTCGTCACCTTGTCTGACATCTCCATCATCTTCAGTGCCATCAGGGCAATCTGAACAGCATGGGTTTTGCTTTCTTTGTGTAACCCTCCAGCTACGCAGTACGCGTCGCCAATAGTCTCCACCTTGTTCATGCAACCCATCAACCGAAAGATAATCAGGGGATAAAGGAGATAAAAACATAAACCCTCTATCATCTGTGAATACATGACAATGCAATTCACAAGTGAATCAACATATATTGTTTCTATGGGGCTTTTCAATGAAGACCAAGGTGTTTATATTGATTTTATTTTAATGACAAATGCTAAATATTAGAATTGCCTTCAGAAATCACAATCAAGAATTACTGAAAAATCATGCAAACAGGTTTGATCCACACACATGGGGTCAACTTTCACATGAAGCGGGTGACACTCAACTCTATCTCTCTGCCTCCACCCGCGACCCCAGGACCACTGATGTCCTGAAAGGCTGCCTATCAGACATCAAGTCCTGGATGAGAGGCAACTTTCTACAATTGAACGTCAGCAAGACTGAGGCTCTCCTGATAGACTCACACCAGCAACCTCCGCACCTCAAGCACTGGTAGCATCAGAATCCATGGATGCACATTCCACCTCACCATGCCAGACAACAACAACAGCAAAATTACATTTGTAAAGCACCTTTTAAGTTGCTGGACAATCAGTGTTTCGGACCCAAACTGGGGATCTGGATCGGGGAGGGTGGAGGGCAGGAGGATGCGAAGGAAGGTGACTGACAACACGGTCAAAGAGAAGGGTCTTGAGATGGATCTTGAAGGAGGCAAAGGAGGGGCAAGGCAGAGGGACTGCGGGATGGAGTTCCAGAGGGTGGGGGCAAAGTGGCAGAAGGCTCACCCGACAATGGTGGGTGGGCGGCGGGGGACTTGAAGCAGGCCAGAGCCCGCTGAGAGAAGAGAGCAGGCAGGTTGGTAAGGGGTTAGAAAGTCGCAGAGGTAGGGGAGAATAAGGTCATGGAGGGCTTTGAAGGTGAGGACCAGGATCTTGAACTGTATCCTCTGTATGAATGGGAGGCCAGTGGAATCCGGCAAGAATGGGGGTGATCCCAACACCAGGCTCCATGACCCCATCACACCCACCCTCACCTAGCTCCACATCCATCAGAGGATTGAGTTCAAAATTCTTGTCCTCACCTTCAAGGCCCTCCAAGGCCTTGCCTCCTCCTACCTCCCTGACCTGCTAACCACTTATCAACCTGTCTGCTCCCTCCACTCAGCAGGCGCCTGCGTGCTCCATGCGGTTGGGCCTTCAGCCTCTCTGCCCCCACCCTCTGGAACTGCATCCCACATTCCCTTCACTTTGCCTTGGGACATCCTCCCGATGTGAAAGCCACTTTACAAATGTAATTTTGTATTGTATTGCCTGCTTCAGACAAACCCTACATTCAATCTAATTTTTAATTCATAATATGACAGTATTCTATACAGAAACAACCAACATTGTTCACTCCGTATACAGTGAACACAAAATTCAATCTGGGTCTAAGTTTTCTCAATTTTCTTAGTATTTCAGAATGTGCAGAATTTGCCAAATTTTTAAATCCTGCCTTATCCTTGAAACTGTTTTTTGAGTTCTTAAAAGAATATACAGAAAACTGACTTCAAAATTAAGACCATATTAAAGTATTTGCCAAATCCTCATTGTTGTGAATTTCTAAGAAAATACAATAACATTCTTCCCAAGTATGTGATATAACACACAGACTTGCATTTGTGACATTTTTGCAACATTTATATTTCAGAATAGAAGCAACTGAAATAAATCACATATCAATGGGCCAAAAACTACAAATGGGGAAATGCATCTGAAACTTTTGTATCTTTAATTCTGATTGAGAAAAAGCTTTGCACATTGTTTGGTATATCCCCGGAAGGCTTTAAAAGTAAAGACATTCTTTCTCCACCTTTCTAAAATATTCAGAAGATGAAAACTGCTCGTTTTTCAAATCTGCAAAATAATTTGAATGTTTGGAGCAACCATGCATTTTAACAAAAATTGATGGAAAACCCAATTTCTTCAACGGAAGTACAAACAAACAACAAAATTACATTTGTATAGCACCTTTCATATTGGGAGGATGTCTCAAGGCGCTGGACAGTCAGAGTTTTGGACCCGAGCTGGGGGTTGGGATTGAGGAGGGTGGAGAGCAGCAGGGGAAGCAGGGTGATCAAAATCAGGGTCAAAGAGGTGGGGCTTGAGATGGGTCTTGAAGGTGGCAAGGGAGGGGGCAAGGTGGAGGGACCGCAGGATGGAGTTCCAGAGCATGGGGGGGAGAGTGGCAGAAGGCCCGCCTACCAATAGTGGAGCGAGCGAGGCGGGGGATGTGAAGCAGGCCGAAGCCCGCTGAGTGGAGGGAGCAAGCAGGATGGTAGGGGGTTAGGAGGTCGCAGAGGTAGGGGGAGCAAGACCATGGGGGGCTTTGAAGGTGAGGGCCAGGATCTTGAACTGTATCCTCTGTATGATGGGAAGCCAGTGGAATCGTGCAAGGATGGGAATAATAGCGTCACAGAGCCTGGTGCGGGAGAGGATACGGGCTGCAGAGTTCTGGATGATCTGCAGCCTATGGAGGGAGGAGTTGGGGAGGCCAACAAGCAAGGAGTTTGCATAGTCAAGCCTCGATACTATGAATGCGTGTATGAGGGTTTCGGCGGCCTGCGTTGTGAGATAATGGCGGAGTCGGGCGATTTTCCGGAGGTGGGGGAAGGCAGAGCGGGTCATGGCACAGATGTGTAGGAGAAAGGATAGTTGAGGGTCAAACAAGACACCAAGTTTTCGGACTGGTTTAATAAGGTAGAGTGTGCATCGAGTGGAGTGTGTAGGAGCTAATCAGGAGAGCCTCGGTCTTGTTCACGTTCAAATAAGGAAAATTAGCTCTCATCCAGGACTTGATGTCTGACAGAGTTGTCCTGGATTCAAGGTTGGAGGCAGAGAGATAGAGTTGGGTGTCATCCGCATACATGTGGAAGTTGACCCCATGTCTGCGGATGATGTCACCAAGAGGGAGCATATAAGTATTGAAGAGGAGGGGACTGAGGGCAGAGCCCTGAGGAAAGCCAACACGAGACGGTGTGAGGACTAGAGGAGAAACCGTTTGTGGAGATGAAGTGGAGGCGGTGTGAGAAGTACAATCTGAACCAATCAAGGTCAGAGCTGTGAAGGTTGAGGTGAGAGGCGAGGCAGTGGATGAGGAGAGAGTGGTCGACAGTTTCGAAGGCAGCAGAGAGGTCAAGGAGGACGAGGAGGCAGAGGGAGTTCTGGTTGCAGATGGACAGAATATCATTTGTCACTTTGACCAGGGCTGTTTCTGTGCTGTGGGCAACATGGAAACTCAATTGGAGGGGTTCATGAAGGGAGAGGAGGGAACAAAGCAACAACTCGTTCCGTGACCTTATTCCAGGGCAAAGCAATGAAACAAGGATAATAATATAATAATAGTAATACGAATCCTACCTTGTAGATATCCAACTCGCCACAATGGTAGTCAAACATGGTGTATAACTCATTCAGCATGGTGACAACCTGCATTGGTGAACAGCGACCACAGACTGCAGTGAAGCCTACAATATCCGAGAAAAGCATGGTGACGTTCTCAAACTTCTTGGCCTGAACGGATTGTCCCTGCCACAGCTGCTGGGCCACTTTGCCAGGAAATATTGTGAACAAAAGATCCACTGTCTTTTTCTTTTCCTCTTCGAGGGCCTGGTGAACCTTTTCAAGGGCACCTTTCAATTTACCCAGTCTTTTCTTCAGTCCATCTTGGGCTTTGGTTTGTTCTCCAACAAGGATAACATCCCTCAAAGCATTGTGGATAGGGATATCTGAGAGGTACAAGCCACGTCCAGTGAACTCTTCGAGTTTATCCACATACGGTGATCCCAGAAACAAGATGCTTTTGGATTCCGGCACATAAATCATTTGGCCTTTGATGTCCATAACCTGTGTAATTATTACATGGTGTAATTGCAGCTAAGAGTTCCCAACAATTCCGACACAGATTTTGAATGTAAATCATATAAACGCTTCCCTGGTTCTTTTGGTAAAACTCACAATCATACTGAATTACCAATTGGAATTCCTGCAATGATGACAACTCCTCCCAACGAATATGATTTGGTAAGTGCTATAGAAGCTACAATATATGACTTAGAAAGATAGCAGTTAGCTGCATTTGTTCCCAGGTTGACTGCTTTTCTGCCCATGCCCAGGTAATTGGTCAAATATGAAAAGTAAACATAACAAAGAGGTGAGACTCCCTATCAATCTGGTTGCTCCCTCCACTCAGTGGGCACTAGACTGATGCACATTCTTTGCCCATCCATCGGTAGTCAGCCTTTTAGCATATCTGTCTGTCATATCTGTCCAACTCTCTTGACCTCCGTGCCATATTCACTTTGACTCACATCTTTCCTCGCTCCTTCAAGGTCTGCCTCAAGACCTTCCCCGTTGACAGTGCATTCAGCCATTCATTTCCCTCCCCATCATCCTCCTCACCCCCATCCCCTCGGCTTCCATCCCCAGCTCGAGTGCAAACCTTGTACTGTCCAGTGTTTTGGGATGTCCTCCCAACATGAATGAACTATACAAATGGAAATTTGTATTGTATTGAGTCATTGTTACAACAAGTATTCTTGCCCTCCATCAGCTATTTTTATTATTATTTATTTAATAATAAACCTTAGAATATTATATTGTGAGAATGACAGCAGTTACCAGCCACTGAATTTGTTGCAGATACTGCAATTGTTTGGATAATTGAACTATACATTCACAGCACATGTACAAACCACAGGACACAAATGTGTCAGTCTGACTGTGTTTCAACCAGGAGATAAAGCTTAAACCTGTGTCAACTGGTGTCTCCAACCTTTAGAAACCCAGCATAATTGGGTGTTCTTTTAAGTGGATTATTTGTAGAAACAAATGAAAGTTAATTATACAATCACTCAACAACTATTTGCTACAAATGAGTACAATTGTGTTCTTGTGTACAACAACAACAAGATTGCATTTATAGAGCGCCTTTCATGTCGGGAGGACGTCCCAAGGCGCTGGACAGTTGAGTCGGGACCCGAGCAGGGGGGAAATGGTCAGGGTGAGGGGAGGAAAGGGAGGGAGCGAGGAGGGGGTAGAGAGTCGAGAGGGGAGGTGAAGAGAAAGATCTTGAGACCGGCCTTGAAGGAGGAAAGGGAGTAAGCAAGGCGAAGGCACTGGGGGATGGAGTTCCAGAGCATACGGGCTGAGAGGCTGAAGGCCCGGCCACCGATGGTAGGGCGGTTAGGGCGGGGGGGTGTGGAGCAGACCAGAGCCGGAGGAACGGAGGGTACGGGCAGGTAGGTAGGGGGATAGTAGGTCGGAGAAGTAGAAGGGAGCAAGGCTGTGAATGGCCTTGTAGGTGAGGATGAGGATCTTGAATTCGATCCTCTGGGGGATGGGGAGCCAGTGGAGGTGAGCGAGGGTGGGAGTGATGTGGTCCCGAAGCCTGGAGCGGGACAGTACATGAGCTGCAGAGTTCTGAATGACCTGCAGCTTGTGGAGGGAGGTGCCGGGAAGGCCGGCGAGGAGAGAGTTCCCATAGTCCAGCCTTGAGATGATAAAGGCGTGGACCAGTTTCAGCAGCGTGAGGGGTGAGGTAGTGCGTTAATCTGGCGATGTTCCGGAGGTGATGGAAGGCGGTGCCAGTTGTGGCGCGGATGTGGGGAAGAAAGGACAGCTCAGGGTCGAACAGAACCCCGAGGTTCCTGACTGCTTTGAGAGGTGGAGAGTGCAGCCTGGGATGCTGATGCTGTCATCGCCTGAGGTGTACTGACTGTTGTGAGTGAGTGAGTGAGTGAGTGAAAGATAAGGTGGTGAATGCAAACTTTCTTAATCCAGGAGTGTTATTGAAGCAGTGCTATAAATTAAGGTTGTGTGGCATACAGAATAAGTAAGGTTCCTCAATCATTAATCAGAACCTATTATTTGCTTGAACCAGGAAACTGGAATCAAGTGGACAAACATTCAACTTCAGAGGTTTTTTACTATAGTTCCATTGGTATTCCACTACTACCAGGTAGTGCCAAACATGTTAAACTCGTTTGAAAAATATAATCCGTTATTTTATTTAGGATGAAACCATGAGATTTTAAAAGATCCTCCCCATTTTATTTGGTGTCAGAAATGACCAGTATGTGCTCTCACGTAATTCTTAGGTTAGCTGCCAGGCACAAATCACCTCAAGATTGATTTATCTGAGACAAGTACCTGCATATGTTTTAAACATTGCGCTAAAATTAATTTTAAACAAATAGTTTTTCCCCAGCAGGATGATTTAGCTGTCATCTACAACAACATCTGGTCTGTGAATCACAGCTTGTTCCCTGATAAGTTTGAGGTGGAATTGCAGAGCAATAAATTATTTGCTAATGTTCTGGAGCTTGAGCAGGAAAAGGTGGCAGCTGAGAACTGGAACTATATAGATTTCACAGGAGACGCGGTAAGTGAAAGTCAAAGAAAAAGCAAGGGAACTAGAGAGAGAGAATGAGAGAGAGAGAGAAAAATATTAAATTATGTGGTTCATGTGGAGAAAACTACCAGCACAATTGTGCCCTATTTCTGTGCTATAACATCCTTTATCACATGCATAAAGCCATAAATAACTTCAACATCTTGTTTTCTGTCATTTAAAAATGTTTGTTCACACAGCAAGTGTTCAAGAACTGGCTGGGAGGAAACGTTGACCTCTAACTGTGTGAGGGCTAAGTTAATGTATGCGACGAAAGCAGAAACACCAAGGGATTAGTAACGTAGAGGTCAAAAAGCAATATGGGTTGTGATAATTCCCACCAATAATCATTATCACTTCACATAGCACATTTTTCAGTCCTATGTCGGAGCTAATGTTAATTCAGCCCTTTCACTGGTTAGTACAGTCAGCCAATTCCCTTATATTACTATTCAAATAAAACTATTGCTAAATATGCAAGAAGATAGGCGAAGGGGTAAACGGGTATAGTATGTGGGCCATAATATATGGTGAATAAATATCTGTAAAAGGCTTACTATTCTGAAGTTGTTTTGGGCTATCACTAGATATCACAAAATAATCGTAGAAATAATAAAATAGCATATATTTATACCATAAACCAAGAAATATTCAATCAAGAAACATCTATTTTGTTGACCAACCAAAGAGGTAGTTAATAGAGTTAGTAGGTAAAACTTACCTGAAGATTCTAACCTTGAAGACTAGTAATTCATAGGTTACAAAAAAGTAACTTTTGAATACCACCTACTTTATACAACTCAAGGTAAGATACCAAAGCATGCATTGAAATAATGTAGGAACTATAAGGAGGGCAACATCTAGGGGTTGGGAGCAGCAGCAATAATACTTTTCAAACAAGCTCACCTTTTCCTGTTCTTTTGCCGTGTGGTCTTGTCTTATTCTTATAATAAACTGTGTGTTTAACATGCTCCGGATCCCACTGAACGAGCCGCAGATGGGAGGGGTGATGATCTGGAAATGCTCGTTAAAGTTGGGCCTTTTTAAAAAGTCTCTTTTGTTCAAAAGTCTTCTCATTCCGTCTCCGATCTGCATCAGCCACATCGCTCGGTCAAAAAGGAAGTGGAATGGGAACGTTTTACAGAAGGTGGAGACAGGGACATTGGCCACAGTTGAAGTGTTCCGCAATTGGGGCAAACTATTTGTCTTGACCTTTGTCTGAGAAACAATATACATGAGGTAAGTGCAGTTTGGAAAGTCACTGACCCCATCCTCTGAGCACCTTGGTACCAGTTCCACCCTTACCTCATCTTCGTACAACATCTGGGCAGCTGCCTTGATCAAACCAGGAAGTATAAATCCAATTAGTTCATTGGGGAAAAAGCAATACACTTTCAGAGGTCCATCGTTTTCCTCAAGGCAAAGAATAGAGGATTCCTGGAGAGCCTTCACATCCCCATCCCCTTCCAGGTGAGATTGGTCATGTTTCAGAAGGGTATTAAAACTGTTTAAAAGTCTCTGAGTGTCCTACTAACTAGTTTCAAGATCTGCTCATCTTCCTCGAAACAGATTTTGAAGAGTTCCTCCCCAAGCGATTGTCTTAGCTGCTCGGCTTTAATACCTGTGGTTAAGTCCCAGCATATGGTTATTAGTCACTCTCCCAGGAATTCAGAGTGAAATTGAACAGCACGAAACAGGAAAATGGAAATAATTACCTGAATTACTGGAGTACAATGTGAACAAGCGAATAAAATCTTCAGTATTTTCCTTTTCCAAACACCTGTCACAGAATCCTTCTGGATGGTCAAAGGCTGCACTGCAAGTGAAGCAATAAATAAATAAATAAATACATAAATAAATAAAGGTGCTATATCAAATGCAAAAAAAATTGAAAGGATTAAATATACAGCCAGAAACAGACAATGATTGCACAGGATGTTTCTCAGCTGTCAAGTATTGGGAGTATAGAAAACTGTTTTATTGTACATCATTTTAAAAAATTCCACTTGATATATGTAAACAATGAAGGTCTTTTTAAATTGCATTTGCAGGTACTGTAGTTATAAAAGTACAGAATCTGAGACTTTGTAACATCTATAGTTTCACATCAAGTTTGATGGAAAAGCATGATCGAAACAGGGCCTGAAAGGGCATTAAAAATACATTGAAATAAACAACAAAAACATCCTGCCACTTATGACCACCCCGCCTCCCGCCCCCGAATGTAAGCTAAATCCGTACACTCTCCACCAACCGCACAACTTCTGTGCAAAGATGAATGAATTATTAGAATACCATTGGAAACCACACAATTCCCCAGCTCCATAGTTAACTAGTCGTGGAGTTGGGGAATCGTGTGGTTTCCATTCCCCCGGGGAAACGCCGTTCGTCATTCTATCGGGCAATGTGTTCTCCAAACAATGTATTCTCCTTCGCATGCCTGGCCGCTGTTGCAGTGTTCCAGGATATAGCAATGTTTGGTACACAACTCTGAAGGTGCTGCCGTATTTCACTTTTTATGTTGCCTGGAGTTATGTGCGTGAAATGTTCAGATGGCACTGATACCAGCATTGGGGCTGGATTTGTTTCCTTCTGTCTTCCCAAACCGTGGGTTCAGTGGGTGTTTGCTATGAACAACTAAACAACGTTCAACTAATCCATGAGCTATTTAAGTAAGAAAGCTACACAAGAAGAATGTCAACTTTGATACAATTCCTATGAATTAAATAAGAAGACGAATATGTCAATCTTGACACAATTCATTTGTATCAAAGGGAAAAAAACATTTTTTTTTCTTTGACATTCTTTGAAACTATTTTTTTCAGGGGGAATAGTTTAAAAGAAATATGAATTAAATATGAAGAATAATAAGTCAATCTTGATAGAATTCATTTGTATCAACTTTAGTTTCTTTGACATTCTTTGAAACTATTTTTTTCAGGTGGGGGGAGAATAGTTTAAAAGAAAATCTTCAGAACCCTGGTCATACCACAAACACTACCCAGTTTCTACTCCCAAAGGCCAATTGACAGCCTGTTGA